TTCCTACTGTGAGGAATTGTTCCTGCAGTAGGCTACCGGTGCTGGGCCAACCCAGGTGGGAATTGGTTTCGTGCCTTGGCCTGTTCCCCCTGGCGGCCCAGTGGCCGCCATCCTTCAGAGGCCACTGGATAGTCACATTTGGGCCCCCAGTGACGAGACACACAGGGCCTCATGGGATGGGGGTGGAGCCTGGCTTGTCCTCCCCAACCCAACGAGATCCCGTCATCGCCCACGAACGGCCTCTCTGGCTCCTGATCAAGCTGCTTAATGGCCATGATCCCAGAGACTCAGAAACAAAACTTAAAACCCAGTGGCTTTTGGTAGAAATGCGTCCGGACCCCACAGTATGTTACTGTCGCCTGGCCACCCCAGGGAGGAAAGGATGTTGTCCCTCCGCCTGCTCCCTCTTGGCGGCTTGGTGGCTGTCATCCTCCAGAGTCCATTGGACAGTCAGGCTTGGGCCAGCAGTGACGAAACTTGTTGGGCCTCACAGGATGGCGGGGAGCCGGGCCTGTCCTCCCCACACCAACGAGACCCCAAGTCATCACCCACGAACGGCCTCTCTGGCTCCTGATCTAGCTGCTTAACGGCCTTGATCCCAGAGACTCAAACAAATCTTGAAACCCAGTGGCTTTTGGCAGAAATGTGTCCAGACCCTGCAGTAGGTTACTGTTGCCGGGCCACCCCAGGGGGGAAAGGGTGCTGTCCCTCTGCCTGTTTCCTTCTGGCGGCTCTGTGGCTGTCATCCTCCAGAGGCCACTGGACAGTCAGGCTTGGGCCCGCAGTGATGAAACTTGTTGGGCCTCACGAGATGGGGTGGAGCCGGGCCTGTCCTCCCCACCCCAACAAGACCCCAAGTCATTGCCCACGAATGGCCTCTCTGGCTCCTCATCAAGCTGCTCAACGGCCATGATCCCAGAGACTCAGGAGCAGATCTCGAAACCCAGTGGCTTTTGGCCGAAATCACTCCAGATTTAAGAGCTAAAATTTCAGAATTTCAAAATCCCGCGGCCACTACTGCAGCCACGCGACATCATGTTATTCATAACCAGCAACAGAAAACAAATTGTCTACTGTTGCCTTTTCAGCAGATCTGAGTGTTGGTAAAATCACAAATAATAATGGTGGGTCTGGTGTCAAAATATTGAATGTAATCAAAGTAGAGAGAGAGTAATGTGGAAATCATCTGCCCCACAGGTAGGGGGAAGGTGTGGGATAGGGGTATACTGGAGTTTTTGGTGGTGGAGAATGGGCACTGGTGAAGGTACGGGTGTTTCATTGTATGACCAAGACTTAGACCCAAAAGCTTTGTAACTGCTCTCACGGTGATTCAATAAATAAAATTATAAAAAATGAAAAAAAATAAAGTAAGGTGGAGTTCATGCACAATTCAATCAGCTAATCAGTGGCTGAATAAATAGCAGTACTCCTACAAAAAAAAAAAAGAATTCCTACTGTGGAGCAACAAGCTGCAATCAGGAAATCTTTGAAGTACAGAAATACCTGGAGAGTGAGGGGGAAGGGAGCACAAACACTCAGCACCCCAATTCTATGACCGTATATTTACAATGGTGCAATGGGAAGCAAATCTGGGTATAAACAGGGGTCGAAGTCATTGGCAAGCACCATTTTTTTAATTTAAATTTTATTTTTAAAATTTAGTCACCACCTTTTAGCACCAACTCCTCCCACTGAATGCTTCCCTCAGACAGATGCTGCCCACATCCTGTCCTATCCTCCAGCCCTTTCAAGTGCCATGTTTCCTACTGAACACCAGTTCTTTGTTTCCATTGTCTTTGGTATGTTATTCCACCATTATATTTCTTCACACCCTGCATATAACAGAGATCATTCTGTGTTGGTGTCTCCCTTTGATTCATTTCACTCAGCACGATACTATTCAGGTCCCTCCATGTAGCAGGACTTTATCTTTTCCTATGGCTGAGTTATATTCTACTGTGTATATGGACAATAGTTTCTTTATCCAGTCATCTCTTTTTGGGCACTTTGGTTGTTTCCAGATTTCTGGCCACTGTGGATAGTGCTGCAAGGAACACAGGGGTGCCAATGCTTTCTTTCCACTTTGTTTTTTTTTCCAAGAAATGGGTTTCCTGGGTCAAATGAAAGCTCAATTCCTAGATTTTTTTTTTTTAGGAATGTTCATATTGCTTTCCAGAAAGGCTAGGCCAGTAGACATTCCCACCAACAGTGAAAGTAGAGTCCCTTTCTAGCAGCATCCATACCAGCACAGGTGGGTCTTGCTCTTTTGATGTGTGCTAGTCTCTGTAGCAAGAGATGGTATCTCATTGTTCTCATTTGCATCTCCCTGATGATTAGTGATGTAGAACATTTTTTCATTTGTCTGTTGGCCATTTACAGTTCTTCTTTGAAGAAGTTTCTGCTCATCTAGTTTCCCCATTTTTTGATCGGGCTGGATTTTTTTTCTTGTAAAGTTCTACCAGTGTCTTTTATATCCTTAATACTAACCCCTTATCAGATGAGTATTGGGTAAATAATTTCTCCCATTTCGTGAGCTGTCTTTGTATCCTGGCGACTGTTTAAGGTGCAGAAGCTTCTTAATTTAATGGGCAGATACAATATTGATGATATCTTTCAATCTTGCTGATAGCAGCAGTACTGGTGGATGTCATACTGGATCTGTCTCCATAATAACAGATTCTCCACAAATTCCTGAGACTCAGCTAGCAAACAGCAGAAGTAGCTGTTTGAATGACAATTACCAAGAGTGTTTACTTCTAGCAGACAAACAGACCTGGCCTATAAGTCCACATCTGAGTGCAAGCCACACTCCAAATGGCCTTCTCAGTATAACCAGTCAGTCAGTAAAGGGGCTCCACTGCCTGCTGTGCTCTTTGCTGGTCCATAGCCAACTCCACTGTCAACTCTCAGGCACATGCTTTGTCACTACCAGTTAAAACAACTGAGGGTCAAGCCTGCTCTTAAACATTTCTGAGCCACCACCCAGGATTGTATGAAACAGGAAGCCCCGTGGCTGCTAGGACCTGATTGCTGCCCAGGCCCACTTAAACCTGACTCACAAGTATCCCTGAACACTCATAATCATAAACCCCCCGTCACATCCAGGCCCACTCAGACTCAATACCGTAACAGAGGTCATGCAATCAAGATTGAGTCCCTGGGTCACCAAAATGCACACTTGACTTTCATGTTACAGCCTATACTAGGAACTTGCCATTGCAAACACCCTGTTACAACTTAGGCCTGCTCAAACTAAGAGCTACAGTTGCAGACAGGGACCCACAGACTTGGAATTCTCTAATTACAAACCAGTCTTAGCCCCCAGTCAGACCTGTGTGGGACACTAGGCAAAAATGGAAGGTAAAATAACTAAACTACACTGATAGAATAGGACAAGAACCTAGAAAAAAAGTCCCTATGGGGCCAGAGTGATATAGTATATAGGTTAGGGGGTTTGCCTTACACGCAGCAGACCTGGTTTGATCCCTGGCATCCCATATGGTCCCTTGACCACTGAGCCAGGAGTAAACCCAGTGCACAGCTGGATGTTCTCCAAAACCCAAGACCAAAAAAATCCCCAAATATTCTGAATGTGATAAAGGTGTGCAAACAATTTGCAGTAGATATGTTTAAAACTTACGGCATGTTAATTTTTTTAAAAAATATTTTTCTTTCAAAGACTAAATGCTGTGTATTCACTTATCTCTGTCCTTTCACTGAGTTTTTCTTCTTGAATGATGCTACACACCCTTACACTACCTAACACTGACTAAGAAATGGCACATACCATAATGAAGAAAGGGAACCCTATTCGCCTGGTAAAGGAGTACCACAGGGTAGTGCACAGGAGAAAAGTTGAGATTATGCTTTTGCCTATCACTCAAGTTAGATAAGAAGCCTCAAAGGAAGTCCTGATTGAGGCTCCACTCCTTTAAAGTCCAATGAACTTTTTGACAATCTCCTCCCTCTCCCTCCAAATTTGGCTTATTCCACACAGAACAGGGATTCGTTCCCACAAGACTGCTATTGTTATTGTTCCAACAGAGGACGCCACCAGCTATCTAGGTTCCCAGCTAGGAATCTCCCTATTCCCTCTTCTTTCCTTGTCCTACGAATTTCCCAGATCAGTCTCCTCTCAATCTCAAATCATCAGGCCTGTGCAGTTTTCAACTGAACCACTGAACCTTCCTTTTTTTCAAACAGCTGGCAGAATTACCGACCTCTTGTACTTTAGTGATTTAAATGGTTCTCTACCTCTTCCATGATATAGGCTGCCCTAAGTAACAGGGAGAATGAGACTTCCATGGCTTGGTCTCTACACACTCAACATTTACTCTCTCCCTTCTAGATAAAGAACCAGCAGTGGTAAAATGCTGCCAACATTTACACCAATTCTTTCTTGATTTTGCTCTCCTCTGTCTGGGAAACTCTTCGCATCATTTTGAGGCATACTACAGGTTTTCTGAGACCAACCTAAGATGTATACACTCTGGTACTACCTGGCATCTAACCAAGTGGCTTTAGACTGCTAACAATTGACCTTTCTCTTCTTCATTCCCAATCTGTGAAGTATCTCTTCATACCAAGTTTATATAAAACACCTTGCAAACATATTCAAGGTCAATGCTAAAACTTCATTAGGTTCCTGTGTGTGAGCTTCCTGTGTGTGAGTTTCTGTGGAATAAAGTGCGCTTAAGGACCTGGTGATCCACTGATGAAGGTAATGAAGGTAGTGTTCACCAGGATAAACAGCAAAATGTGAAGAGTTCTACATTAAAGATATAAACTTATATCCCTATGAGGGTAAGAGTGGGGGCAGTGAATGCAGTTAGAGGCCGGCAGTAGGGTCAGTGACTGCACAGAGCTTAATGGACTGGCAGGCTGTATAGGTGATGGTGATCAAGAGGACAGACCAGATCCGGGCTTGTGACAGGTTGTAAAGGATTACTGATCACACATAGTTGCTGAGGCTGCCCACCCCAAAAGGCAGACCCACTCACCGCCTGAGTGACTCCGAAGGATGGAGAGGCATCGCCACTGCTCCACATTGGCAAGCTTTCCACTGGAACCAAACACAGTGCTGGGGCCAATGTACCTGTGTGAGAGAGGAGTCAGAAAGGAATTCCAGGAATGCTCTAGGAACTGAATATAGATGTTCCCTGCAGCATGGGTTATCATAGCAAACAGACTGAAGCAAAAACAGACAAGGCTGGAATGCATGGAACTGCTGAATAGGGGATGATCAGGCAAATTATGATCCATGCACTTGATGAAATATTATACAGAAATCATAAATCTTGTGACAGAAGAACACCCATAGCATGGAAAATGTTTATAATATATAATTAAATGAAAGGAGACCCAGATTATACATAGTATGACTTAGGCAAAGAAAAAATATACATAATATAGCTATCATCTTCGCATGAAAAATGGATCAGAAGGACAGAGAAAAAATACCAAAATATTAACCATAGGTTTTTATGGTGAGACTGTTGCTTAAAAATTTTAATTTTTTAAATTTCCAAACTGTATATTAAATATAATATTTATATCGGCTAAAGCAATAAAAGCAATGATATTTTTAAGATATTAAAAATGAACTGAATACCTCTGTCAACCTTAGGCAAAGAAAGCACTGGAACTATGAATAACTAGCTCTACCCATATGAACAGTTAAAAGGCCCCCAATTCCACAGAATGCTTCACAAACCCACACAAAGAGCTTGTGGAGGCTGCTGAATGAGCCACACGAGACAGGTCACTTGTGCTTATGCAGTCACGGGCAGAGGCCACTCTGACTAAGCAGATCTGATTCCGAGCCTGAATGACTCCCAGTGTCCCTTAGGGAACAGGTTGGAGAAGAGAGCCTTATGACCCATTGCTTAAGTTTAAAGAAACATGGCTTTCCAGGTATGATTGGTTTATTGTGGGTACAGAGCAGGGTCTTTCCAGGAAGGTCCTTGGAGTCCCAGGGTGTGGCTGATAGAGCATCAGGTGAATGGCAAGGAGAGTGGCTCTGGACCAGCAGCAGATTCCCTTAGAGCCCCTCAATTTTCATTTGAAGAGCAAAATAAACAAAGCCACCAATGTCAGCTCTGGAAAGGATTAATCCTTTTACAGGTGTAAATCCTGCACCCACCTGAGGGGCCAGTACAGCAACAGGTCACCAAGTAGGTGGCTGATCTCCTCTAATAATCCCAGCTGCTTATAGCCTACATGTGCTTTCGACTTAAGAAGTCAGTACCCTGGACACTTCACAGTGCCAGGATGGGAAAAGGTGACTATGATAAAGACCAGTAAAGAAGCTTCTAAAAATAAAACGTGAAGAAAGGAAAATGATGCTTACGTAGCCCGCTTCCACACCATAATCAGTTTGTCATCTCCCCCAGAAGCTAAATACATCCCACTGTTTGACCACCGCACACAGTTCACACATGCTGGGAAGAAAAAAAAATAGGGTGATGAAAATCCAATAGTCACGTCTGTTCGTTTTATGCAGAGTTTGGTAAGATGCAAAGGGTTTATAAATTTTAATTTACCTAATCTTCTAAAGTCTCCTACTGTGTCAGAGCCCCAGAAGAACAAGTTTAAAAACTAACCTATCGTTGTTCTGTTCAAATTTTCCCAGACAAGCATCTGGAGGGCAAAAAGCTAACAATCCCTAAGAATTGTTAGTGCTAATGATACAGACAACAGAAGATTCTTTCCATGAAAACTGGTGACAACTAAATCTCATTTCTAAAAGACCAATGACATGCATTTTTGAGAGGGGATTACACTTGACATGAAGCATGTATTAAAGAAAGGCTAAGATGCTTTTTTCCAGAACTTTCAGGAAAGCAGCTTGGTTTTGTACAAAGTTCTGGGGTATTCTATCTGTTAGCCCTTTGAAATTCAGATGTGCCAAACTTGTGAGCACAGCAAGTTGACTGATTCTGCAGTTATAAACTATGACCAACAGAAAAGTCCCGGTCCCTGATAGGCCAACACCAGTGGGTACCCTCCCTGTAATACAAAGAACAACTGCCAGTAGTGGCATGCATATGGTCTGTGAGTGACTCTGCAGCTGGTAGAACACTGAGAGGCATGTTGGAAAGTCAGAATACACAGAGAAGGAAGGAAACAATCGTTAATTAAACATCTCAGGGGAGAAAGCTAGGTTGGAAACCAGAATGAGGTAGTGACCCCAATAATACAGGGTGGGAAACTAGGTCCTAAGCAGGGAAGGAAAATACAATACTGTTTGATGGGCAAAGGATCATGGTAGAGGGTCTCAGAGTGAAACACTGGCAATCTGAGACTTTTTTTTTTGAGTTGTTTTTTACACACCCTTCCCCAGAACCCTACTGCTTTCCAGGTTGCTGGCCCCAAAGCCCCATGGAATCAGGCAGTAACGACTCATGAGCAGGAAATCACCAGAGGTACCTGCAGACTGTCCAAAGATGGTTCTGTGGGCGGGCCGAGTCTTCTGCCGAATAACTCACCCAGGTGTGCAGCCAACATCTGTGCCTTCAGACAGCAGGCCGAGGGGAGTTAGCGCCGCACGGGGCCTTATCTTTCTAATTACAAACACATGTGCTAACCTTGGGCACTCTGCCAACACGTAAAGCCTGCAAAGGGCCACTCTGTAATACCTAAGTGATTGTCCATCTGGCAAAGCATCTTGGGAATATTTTCATCCTTCTCGTCATCCTCCTGGAGGACTGGAGACATATTCCAGATCACAACCTTCCCAGAATCCTGTCCTGGAATGAAGGAGCAGAAATAGCATCACATTCAAGAACAGAAATTTGATATTGATGAATTAATTATGAGACACAGTCCTTTCTTAGTTTGTATAAATAATTGACCTTATTAGATAAGATTAAATTTTAATTACTAATATAAATTACAGAAAAAAAACGAATAAAACATTAAATACTGGTGTGGATAAAAAAAATTATAGATTTATGCAGACTGAATAGTTCAGTGGGTTAAGACACTTGTTTGATACTCAGTATATGGTCCCCTGGGTACTACCAGAAGTGATCCTTGAGCAGAGCAAGAAATAGGCCTGAGCAACAACCTGGGAAGTCCTCTCCCCATTGCCTCCCAGAATGATTATCATTGAGTAGTATATTGAGACTAACTTGACTTTATGGGGGAAAAAAACAGACTAGATATCACTATTTAACTTTTACTAGAGGTACACTTCAAGACAGTTACAAACTAATGTCTTGAAATGGATCTGTCAAAATTAAAGAAAGGCATACCTGAAATGACCTCCCTGCCATTATATAAAACTATTTATTCTCTTTTCCTACATTTTTACTATGCCAAGCATACCACAAAAGTATGTTACCTGGCTGGATGAAGAGCAAACAGGCCCTCCATCTAAGTTCAGACCCCCTAGGTAAGGCTGTGGGATAATGGTCCAGCGTAGCCTGAAATAAGGAAATCAAGGCCTCCCCTGATCTAACAACTTTTCTGCATGATTCAACCCATCTTGCAACATCTGGCCTGAGTATCAATCTGTATAGGCATGAAGCCACCAGGGACTGAGTTCTATAGATATGCTACTTTGTGCCACCATCTTGCTATCGAGGCCTGAAAAATGACTTTATCTGTCTTTGTAACTTAACACATACACTCTCCATTTTCAGATTAAAACCGTGTCCAGAGTGTTTCTATCTTGGCTTCCAGAACCAAGATGTGGATCTAGTTCTTGTCTATGGGGTTGGGGCTTTTATTCACAGGATTATCAGTCACTCTCCCTGTTTAGTATGCCAGGACTTGAAGAATGCCAACTGACTTTAAAACTGATCCAATAAATAGGAATTAGAAGATAAATCTGCCACAAAAATATAAAGAATATCTCTCTCCTCTCTCTCTCTCTCTCTCTCTCTCTCTCTCTCTCTCTCTCTCTCACACACACACACACACACAAAATCCATTCGGATAAAACATTTATTACATTAATAATGTAACATTTATTACATTAATAAACATTTATTAAAACATAATAGCATGTTTTAAATGTAATCACAATCATACTCAGTTGAAAACATAGTCTATTTTCTTTCCTTAAGGTCAATCAGAAGAAGCAGAGAAAGGGGCAGGGCTGTGAATTTTCCCTCTGTTACTTCATGAACATACCTTGTCCTCCAGTTGCGAACTTGGTCCCGTCAGGGTGAATATCAACTGAAAAAATTGGCTTGCCTAGAAACAAAGGGAATAAAAAGACACACACAACATCTACCTTGGCATTTATTCATCAAAGAACACAAAAATTTAAATATATAAGTTATTCAACTAATATCTCTAGATCACTGCTAGTAGAAAATAAGATAGGCTATCTAGAATAAGAGCAGAGAGATATAAGCTCTTAAGCTAGAGAATAAACTGAAGACTCTATAATAATATTAAATGCCCAGAAGACAAGGGGCTGTGGAGATACTAAAACAGAGATCAGAGGAGCATGCTTTGCATGTTTGGGACCGTGGTTCAATCCCCAGCACTGAGTATTCCTTCTATCTACTCCTCCCTGACACACACACACACACACACACACACACACACACACACACACACACACACACGGCCCTGGGAACCTCTGGCAACCACAGATTTCAAGCATCTATACATCTATGAATCCTTTGGACCTAGCATGAACCATCTAGACTGAATGGCCAAATACTGCTATGAGTGGCCCCAAGCATCACCTGGGAGGTCACCCCAAATAAATATATCAGTAAATACATAAATAATAGTGAAACAAAGCACCATTACTAGGAATACTAAACCAATAGACTGCCTAGGTCTTTGCAGAGAGGTACGCTGAACAAGAGCCTACAACTTCCAGAGATATACTTTTGAAAAGGTTGTGAGTTGCTTATATCAAAGCTGAGTTACAAGGGGTTAATACTTCCAGTGATCTCTCTATCCCACACTGAGAATGTTGCTTCCATTTGTGGTTCTGCTTCCAAAATACCTTGTGGTATATTTGTGCTGCACTGACAATTCAGTCACCTTTTGCTACACATCTCCTTTGTCTGAACTTCTTTCTTGTCAATTGTTCACCTAGGTATTTAGTGCCTCTAAAGAAGAGTGTAGCTATGAATTCTCACATGATCCAGGCCTACCTATAGTGAGAACATTAATTGGGAAGGCTAGATGACAGAATTAATAAAAAGAGAGGGGGGCTCAAATCCCTCAGCTGTGGAAGGCAATCTTTGAGCCTATGCTTGGTGGCACCCGTCTGGCAGGTGAGTCTGCTTCTAGGGTAAGAACACCATGATAATCACTGCTGAGTTCATCGCTCCATCTTTGGCCTAGCTTCTGACAGGCCTGGTGCAAGTAGCTCAGTAATATTCATTGACAAATTAGGTGCTTGACAAGGAACACAGCAACAACAGATAAAGGGCTACTACTGCCAAAGTTTCTTTTTTTTTTTTTTTTTTTGCTTTTTGGGTCACGCCCGGCGATGCTCAGGGATTACTCCTGGCTCATGCACTCAGGAATTACTCCTGGCGGTGCTCGGGGGACCATATGGGATGCTGGGAATCGAACCCGGGTCAGCCACGTTGGCTGCGTGCAAGGCAAACGCCCTACCGGCTGTGCTATCGCTCCAGGACCTACTGCCAAAGTTTCTTAGCTATGTCTGTCTTAGCTTAGTCTGTCCCTATCACTCAAGACACGACAAAGGCACCACGACAAGATGATGGCATGGCATAACTAGACTCAAAATGATGTTAAATGTAGACATGGCTGGGAAAGATGGAATAAGTTGTAGTGGCTTAAAACTGAAAGTCCTAATGCGGTGGAAAAAGAAAATGGCAAAAAAAGGGCAGTGACAAACATGGTTCCCAGCTGGCACCCACCTCAGATCGTCTTCTGGGGAGCACTTTCCTACAATCAAATTGAGCATGAGCTTCCACAAGACAAAGGGAAATGTGCTCTCTTACTTACCAGTCATTACCCCATAGTGGGAGGTAAAACTAAGCAAAAAGGTTCAGTAGGCATACCAAGTGCAAGCATTTTATTTTTTATTATTATTACTTTATTGATTCACCATGAGGTACAGTAACAAAATTTTCATGTTTGAGCTTCAATCATAGTCAAACACCCATCCCTTCACCAGTGCACATTTTCCACCACCAAAATCCCCAGTATTCCCCACTCCCCACCATTCCACACCTCCCCCTGCCCGTGTGGCAGACAATCTGCACAATACTCTCTTCTTCTACTTTATTTACCTTAGATATTTCGAGACCAGTCCCACCACCACTCATACCTGCCAAAAAGGCAATGCTAGACAGTGTTTTGTATTGCTTGTTATGGATACAATATAATGTCAAGTGCTCTAGGAATTCTAAAATTTTAATAATTAGGGTCTGAAGGGGCTGGAGTGATAGCACAGGGGAAGGGTGTTTGCCTTGCACGCAGTCAGCCTGGCCGAGCCGGGTTCGATTCCTCCGTCCCTCTTGGAGAGCCCGGCAAGCTACCGAGAGTATCTCACCTGCATGGCAAAGCCTGGCAAGTTACCCGTGATGTATTCAATATGCAAACACAGTAACAACAAGTCTCAAAAAAAAAAAAAAAAGGAGACGTTACTGGGTCCGCTCGAGCAAATCGATGAACAATGGGAGGACAGGTCTGAAGAGATCACTGCAGCAAGTTGCTTGGGTCCAAGATTTATTTTTATGTCTCTGGATCATGGCCGTGTGGGAGCTTAAGTAGACCGTGGCCAGATATGGAGTCATCTCAAGGGTCCCATCGGGGGGGGGGGGGAGAGAAGAAGAAGGGCCCACTCCTCCCCTGTCCCATGAGGCCTGGCATTTGCCACCACTGCCACTTGTACATGGAGCTTGTTGCTGACTCCTAGAAAATGGCGGTCACCGGGGCTCCTAGAGGGCAGGTGGAGGGACCGCACCTGCCCCCATCTGGAGTAGCCCAGCGGAAATGGCCTATTGCAAAGTCCAGGGTCATCTCTGCAGCAAGTTGCTCGGGTCCAAGATTCGTTTGTGTGTCAAATGCAAGCATTTTAATTCCTCATTTTGTCTCAGAGGTTAAGCCAAAATACTACGGAAGTTTAGAAATAACATTATTACTTCATATCTTGAACTTACGAACTTCCAAAATCATAAAAATCATAACAGGCCTCTATCATATGGCAGCCCTGGCCTGATCCCTAAGATCACTGGCGGGCTCACCGCCCCCAGCATCAGAGCATTATACACCATTATACAGAACAAGGAGCAGCTATCTACTCGAAGTGTTCAAAGTGGTCCCAAATGCAGGAAATCCAGTCATGGTCTTCTCTGAATTTCCTCTATTCCAATATTCACAAGATTGGACCCCAATAGCTCAGCACTCTAAACTGGTTCTAAGAAACCAGATCATGAACCAGAGAGAGAATACAGCAGGTAGGAAGCCTACCTTGCACAGGCAGACCCAGGTTTCATCCCTGGCACTCCATATGTTTCCTCAAGCAGTGGAAGGGGTAATTTCTAAGTGTAGAGCCAGGAGTGCAGGAGTGACCCCTGAGCATCAATGGATGTGCCCCCTCCCTTCAAAAAAAAAAAAAACCCAGATCTAGCAGTAGACTGCATTCACAGAGGCTTGATGGAATGTGATGGAATGTGCCAACTGGTTTTGGTTCCCACTCCTATTCCCACATCCCGTTTGGACAGGGTAGACCATAATTAGTCCTACCTTTAAAAATTTTATTTTTATATTTTGTAGTGCAGGGTCTCATAGATGTTACACATGTGCTCTACCACTGAGCTACTTGGCTAATTATTTCCACCTTATTTTCAAGACAAGAACCTAGAAAACTAGGTGCAGGGAAGTGGTAGAGTACAAATACCGTACATGTGCAAGGCCTTGGATTTGATAGCAGCACTGAATACCACCCTCTCTCCCAACAGCAGTGGTCCCCAAACTGGAATGTCAGAAGTGTCCCCCACAACAATTTTTTTCTTGTTTGTTTTGTTTGGGTACCACACTACCTGACAATGCTCAGGGGACCATATGAATACCAGGGATCAAACCAGGATTGGCCGAGTGCAAGGAAAGCACCTTATCCACTGTACTATCTTTCTGGCCCTGTCCCACCACATTTTTTAAAAATTAACAAAAATAGTCTCCCATCCCCCAAAACTCCGGAAAAATACACATAGTGGGATAACAGAAGGTAGGTGCTGAGAAACAGATAAAGACTGGAAATGCTCACACTGGTGTTTTCTCTTCAGGTGGAGAGATAAGCTGGCATACCCGTGCCCTTCATGAGCCACATATGGGTCAGGCAGCTGCCACACGTGTAACGCCAAAGAATCTTACAGGCTACCCCTGATAATGTTCTACACTTTCCCAAAGGCTGAGGCACTAGGCAAGAAACAACAGTACGATGGGTTTTTGGCACATCTGGAATGTGAGAAGAGCTTCACCGTTTAAAAAAGGGCCATGCACGCACTGAGTCATGCACACACATGCTCCTGTTCCAAAGCCTCTGAGGAACAAGGAGGCCATGGCGCCTAGTGCTGAAAGCGGGCTCACGGTCCTGGTGACTCCAGAAACCAATGGTAAAGCCACACCACTGAATCCTGTGGAACTGAGAAGAGCAGGTATCCAAGTAGAGTGAGAATAGTATCAGGAAGCCTTGAGCACATCAGCACTGCCAGCTCCACCTAAGCCTCCTGGGGAAGCTGAGGTAGGCCAATGAAGTGCTAGCCAACTGCTCCATCCAGGAGAGTAAGTGTCATATAAGGTATGTTCTGTCGAGCTGTCTTTCCTAGGCCAGACCCTTTCCTTCCCAAGTCATAAGATGCTTGAGTGTCTGATGTGCTCCTACAACACTACAGGCAACACTATTCAGGACACTTCCTCAATCTCATATAATCCTGTGAGGAAGATACTTTTGAAATCACCTCTGAAGGGTAAATTGAGGTACACAATTCTTTTTTTTTGCTTGTTTCTTTTTTGGTCACACCCAGCGATGTTCAGGGGTTACTCCTGGCTCTGCAGTCAGGAATTACTCCTGCTGCTTAGGGACTATATGGGATGCTGGGGATTGAACCTGGGTCAGCCACTTGCAAGGCAAACACCTTACCTGCTGTACTATCGCTCTGGCCCCGAGGTACACAATTCTTAGGGAAGATGACTAACACCACGCAGGGAGTCAAGGCATTTGACTCCAGAGCTCTTCAAGTCTTTGAATA